ACAATACTCATAAAGTAAAATTTTTAACTTACGAACGCTCAAAAATTCATTTCAAGAAATTATCAATTTTATAACGAAATTTTTTTATTCTTAAATTCATTTTTTTCATTACTAATGATATTAGAGACGGAATTAGAGATGAAATTACGTTAGCTACGTGAACTTTATGAACGAAATTCCGTTACAAATATATATATTTTTTTGCAGTGAGTGTAGATCAATTTGATCAAACTGGATTATTTAGATTTCGTCCGAGTTCAATATTGTGGTTGTTGTGGTAGTCTTGAAGATGCATTGGGTAATATTTTATCCGCCTCACATAATTTGTATCTATTTTTTATTTTTGTCATTCTCACATAACTTGTCATTTTTTTTGAAATATAATTATACACTTTAATCACATTTTAAATTTTATATTTTTTTAACTTTCTTAATCTTAATAAAACTATTTAGTTATATTAACTTTAATATATAATTATTTTTACTAATACACTTTTTAATTATTTACTAATTATACTTTACCTAAATTCATGGGTCTACATTAGCACGTCCAAATTACATGTGACGGAGGGAGTATTTAAATTGACAAAGACAAAATAAATACTCCTTCCGTCCCAATACAATAGTCTTGTTTACCATTTTTGTCCGTCTCAAAACAATACTCTTATTTCCATAAATAACATAATCACCGTAAAATTACCCTTATTTTTTTTATTTTCATTACACAATTGCTACTACTTTTTACACTAATACACTCACAAAGGCAAAAAAGTCTTTTATCCATACTTTTTATCAACTATCAATATAATTTCAATATTCTTTAAATCTCGTGTTCAACTCAAAGACTATAGTTCTGAAACGGAGGGAGTAGACAACGGCGGAACTACATAGGGCTAAAAGGGTCAATTGACCCTCAGCCCTCAAAATATATGTATTTTTTAAGTAAAAAATAATAAATTATGTATTTTATAGTAATCTGCCCCTCCTAGTTTTTTATTTTGTAATGTTAAAAATCATAAAATTTTTATTAGTTTGTTGATTTATACTTTTAGGGTGTGTTTGTTTGGGGGTTTGGATTTTGAGTTGGGATTTGAATAATAAAAATTTTGAATTTGCATAGTTGTATGATGTGATATAAATATGTGTTGATACGATGTTTTGAATGTAAAATTAATTTTTAGTATAATATAAAAAATAAAAAATAGGTGTTTAATTTAATATTCTTGGGGAAAAAAAATTAGATGAATAGTGAATTTAAAATTCAATCCCCTAAACAAATACACCCTTACTCTTTAAATTTTATTTTTTACAGTAAAAAAAATATTAAATTCTATATAGTTTTGTTGAAATTTTTTATAAAATATTTAAAATTTTCAAATTTTTTTTTTCCCTATTGTGTACTATGAATTAAAAAAAAAAATATTGAATCAATAATAAAAAAAAAAAAAATCTATTTTTCGACCTGCTGGATCGAACTTTTACTGCTGTATTCGTCACTGGGAGTTGATGATTAGTCATAATCGCACTGAGGGTCAGCTGAGCCTTGGAATTCGATATTATATCAGATCGATCGATTGCATGCGTGCGAGGGAAAACAACCTCCCCTCTCTCTACCTTTTTTTCTTTTGTCCCTTTTCATGTGTTCTTCTCAAGCAAATTCACCTACACTACACACCCAGGATGTCAAATAGGGCGGGTTAGTCCCGGATTCGTTTTTAATGGGGCGGGTTCGGGTTTAAATAATATGTTTTGGGGCGGGTTGTGAATTTAAAATTTTAAATCCGGCCGAGTTCGGGGCGAGTTACGGGTTTTACTAAAACCCGCTCCAACTTGGACCCGGATCCGAACTCGGATATTTTTTAAAATTATTATAACTAATATATATATACATTTATATAATAACAATATATTATTTATTTATTTAAATAATTTTAAATATAAAATTCAATTAGTTGTCTGCTTCAAATAATTTTTTAAAATTATTATACTTAATATATATATTTATATAATAAAAATATATTATTTATTTATTTATCTTATTTCTATGGATCAATATTTGATTGTTTTTAAATTTTTTTTTTTGTACTTTTAATGCTATTTATTTTAGTATTCGATTGTTAAAAAAAAATTTATTATTATATTTTTTTAAAAAAAGTGGGTTTGCCGGGTTGGCCTCGAACCCGGAGAGTTCGGGACGGGGCAAGTCCTGGGGCCAGGTGGAAGCGGGGCAGGCGGGTCTCGGATCCTAATATTTTCTAGCGGAGCGGATCTCGGAGCCTGTAAAATCTGTTCCGTTGACATTCCTACACACACCATGACACCAATATTATTCAAAATTATTTACAATTATTTGTTCCAACTCAATACAATTTTTTTTTTTTGTTCTTTTATAATATATTAAAAGATAAAAATATTTTATTAATTAAAAAAATATATAAGATAGTATTTGACATTTTTACATTTGTAAATACAAAAGTACATACATATATATTTATAAAAATTGTGGATATTTGTAGGTATATATAGATTACGTATGCTGCAGTAGAAATAAATATTTCATCGTACCATTATAAAGTAAATATTTATTTTTGCTGTAATTTAAGAAATATTGTATTTTATGATAGTAGATGATAGTCTTGGTATAAAAAGACATGCTCCTTTTGTATATATACCAGTAATTTTCTCATTTGTTTTTTTGTATTTTAATATTTGAATATTAAATATTATATCAAAATATAGTAAAAAATAAAAAAAATAAAAATATTTCTATTAGTATCTTATAATACTATTATAATGATATTTATATAAAATACAATACAAATATAAAAATATTTTTAATATTAAAAACAATGACGTCAAATTCAAATGAAAAGATTACCACCGCCCGGAGGTAGTATATTTTTATGATTAAAAAACGGGTGTAATAGTATTTATGTAAATAAATACAAATGCTAGGATGTGTGTTATGTACGGTAGGGTCCACGCTTCTAAAAAAATTAACATTATCACTTTGTAATTAGACAATCCAATATAAAAATATTTATATTTTGTTAATGGACAAATGAAATACTCCCTCCGTCCAGCTACAAAGTATATATATTTTTATTTTGGGACGTCCAATTACAAAGTAATTATTTTATTAAATATCCCATTTTTTCACAAATACCCTTACTTTACATTACATCATTACTTTTATACCAAAAAGCAAGGACAAAAATGTCATTTATACTACTTTTACCTACCCACTATAATTAAAATACTATTATTTTTTAAACCCCGTACTAAAAATAAATGTATACTTTATACGTGAACGGAATGAGTATTTTTTTTCATAAGACATTCTAATACAGTTAAAATGATACATTTAACTGAAATAGAGAGAATACTAATCATTATTTCTTCGGGCAAAAGATCATATCAAAATACTATTTAAATCAAATTTAAAATCAAAACAAACAATCCCATTAAAATCAAACTAAGAAAGAATAGGGCTAAACTCATCCTACCCTAAATTGATTCGATACATATATAATAAGTTATAGAAGTAATTCTTTTTGGTAGAGAATATAACTTTACTTGTGTGGAGATGATCTTGTCTTCCTCCTTAAGTCTACAATGGAAAACATCAATCATTCATATAACTTTATTTTTTTATTTTTTTATAGTTTATGTTTCTATATACCAAAAAAAAAAAAAAAAAAGTTTGTGTGAATGGAGGATTTCATAATTACCAAACATTGACTACAATAGTAAGTCATAAAATAAGAAATATATATATATATATATAGGCAAGATTGCTTATAATTTATGGAAGAGGATCAAATGCTGAAAGAAATAATTTCAGCACATAGCTGAATGGGTAAAAGTTAGTAATATTAATTTATATCATTAAATTATATAATTAATATAATTATGTATAATTAAATTTTAGTTATTCAGTATGGTGTTGAAAAAGTAATTTCAGCACCAAATTCATGTTGATAATATATTTAAAAAAGTGCATTATACAATTTTATAAAATATTATATAGAAATTTCCAAATTGTAAGTACATTTATCATCGTAAAATCAGTTCAAAATTTATTAGCACTTTCTTAGTCTTCTTTGCACATAATTTTTTTTGTTTTATTTAACAAAACTCTTATATTCATATAGAAATATATATAAGCAAAAATACTTATAATAATTTATTTATAGTTGAAAAAGTGTTGTATATATATATATTATTTCTTTCTTACAAAAATTACATCAAATAATTATATAAATATAAAACACAAATGAAGCACACCCTTATGAACTTCACAAGTATAAAATTTTATGCATTATTCTAATTTATTCAAAAGTATATATATATACTAAAAGTTAGGGGTGCCAATTCGTGTTTTTGGGTCGTGTTCGTGTCGGATTGAGCCATGAGGATAACAAAAAAACTATCAACCCGAACCAGACCCAAAATTTGACCTGAAACCCTAAACCCGAACACGATACGAATTCTTTCAGGTCAACCTGAATTAGTTTCAGGTCACCCGAAATCCGAACAAATCCGATACGAACCCGACACGAAACAGACCTGAAAATTTAAAAAAAATTAAATTGGTCTAAAAAAATATCATTTTTATTTTAATTTTTATATTATTTTATATTTAAAATAATATAAATATTATAAATTAAAATAATAATAATAAAAATTTCAGGTCAATCCGAAACACGAAACCCAAAACCTAACCTGATTTTGAAATTTCAGGTTATCAGGTCAACCAGAAACACGACCCAAATACGACACGAATTTTTTTCGTTTCAAGTTCAGATCGACCCGATTTTTTTCAAACCCGAAATACCCAAACCCGAACCTGAAGAATTTCAGATCGAACGGATTCGATTTTTCGGATCGGGTTTACTTTTGACACCCCTGCTAAAAGTCGCATGTAATTTAAAGTAGGATGAAGTAGTTAAAAATTAAACAAAAACAGAAGAAAATGACATGAGAGAGAGGGACAGAGAGGTGAGAGAGAAAGGAGAAGTGAAGGGCACGAGGAATCATAATTCATAACAAAATGGTAATGTTAATGTTAGTAGCAAAACCTTTTTTACCAATCTTGTTTCACAAACCAATCTTCCATTGCCTTTTTCTCATCCCATTCTTCAATCCCATATCTAGTTCATCACCAACTTAAACCTCTCATGATCTCTTCAAATTTCACCCGATTTGTCGAAAAAAATTGTTGGATTGTGAAGCCTGATTATAAAACAAAAATAAAAAAAAAATGAGCCGGATTAAAATCAGCCCGATTGTTCTATTGGTTATAGTGATATTATCGCTCGGGTTTTTCATGCTCGGTGTCATCCAACTCCTCGTTCGATGCCTAACGAAGCGCGCGGCGTTTTCATCGATCTCGCGCTCCAATAGCCTTCCCGCCGGCGCCGTCGTCGAAGGCTCGAACTCCCACACGTTCCAGCGGCAGCTGCAGCAGCTCTTCCGTCTACACGACTCGGGTCTCGATCAATCCGTGATCGATGCGCTTCCCGTTTTCCGTTACCGAGACGTCGCGGGAGCGAACGAGCCATTCGACTGCGCCGTTTGTCTCAGCGAATTTTCCGACACCGACTGCCTGCTAAAGCTCATTCCCAGCTGCAGCCACGCCTTTCACATGCACTGCATCGAAACGTGGCTTCTGTCAAACTCGACGTGCCCTTTGTGCCGAGGACTTATTTCTTGCGACAAACCCACGCGGCCGAGGATGAAATCGTCGCGTCCCGACGAGGGAGCGATCGAAAATCAAGAAAACGTCGCGACGGTCTTCTCGATTTCGCTCGGGAAATTCCGAAGCGCGAATGCTGATGGGTTTGGAAAAGAACCCGAGGCGATTGGAAGCAGCAGTAGTATCGACGCGAGGAGATGTTTTTCAATGGGCGCGTTTCAGTATGTGATCGACGGGGCGAATTTGCGAGTCACGTTAACTTCGAGCGACAAAGGCGGTTGTAAGAAGAAATCGAGAGTGAATAGGCCGTATTGTGAGGATAGTAAAATGGAAAGCATCGAAACGATGACGGATGGGAAGAGGATTGGGCTTCTTCGGAGTAGAGATGATAGCTTCTCTTTGTCCAAGATTTGGCTATGGTCGAAGAAGGCGAGTTCGAGCATGCCTATTTAGGACTATTCTTTTCATTACATTGTAAAAAGATGTTCCATGAGGACAAGATTTAGAGTATGGCTAAGTAGATCATGAGATACATGAAAATAGATCGAAATCGAAGCATAGGCATTGTTTGAGAGTGTAAAAACGGCGGATTTGTTGCGTTGTAACGGTTAATGACGACCAAATGCATTGTCGAGTATTTCTTCATTTTGTTACCCTCAGAAATAGGTGTCTTAACTACATTTTTATCGACTTCGATTACCCGAGTTTGATCTTCAAAGTTCAAACTCTTTGGATGTTGGTTCACTAAGGGTGGGTGTGTTTAGGGGTTTGGATTTTGAGTTGGGATTTGAACAGTAAAAATTTTGAATTTGAATAGTTGTATGATGTGATATAAATAGGTGTTGATGTGATATTTTGAATGTAAAATTAATTTTTAGTATAATATAAAAAATGAGTTTGATTTGATATTTTTGAAAAAAAAAATTGGATGAATAGTTAAAATCTAATACAATCCCTCAAACAAGCACACCCTAATTAAAAGACGAGCTAAGAATGACTAAATTCTTGAGTTATGAATAAATAACCGGAAAAAAAAAAATGGACACAATTTGATAACTCAAGAAAAAGCGAACACGTTCGCAATCAAAATCGAGTCGACCCAAACTCGAAACGAAAAAAAAAATTGTGTCGTGTTCGGGGCATATTTCGGGTTGACCTGATAACCCGAAATATAAAAATCAAGTTAGATTTTTTGGTTTCGTGTTTCGGATTGACCTGAAATTTTTATTATTATTATTATTATTATTTATAATATTTATATTATTTTAAATATATATAATATAAAAATAAAAATGATTTTTTAGATTAATTTAATTTTTTTTTAAGTTTTCGGGTATGTTTCGTGTTGGGTTCGTATCGAGTTTGTTCGGATTTCGAACAACCTGAAACGAATTCATGTCGTGTTCGGGTCTAGTGTTTCAGGTCGAATTTCGGGTTCGGGTTGACAATTTTTTTGTTATCACCATAACTCAATCCGACACGAACACGACCCGAAAATACGAATCGACACCCCTACAAACAAAACAAAGCATCTTTCACATCCATAAATTCAACTTTTATGTCGTGCATAGCAGCAAGACTTAATACAATTCTAACACATGATATATTAACAATCGGCAAGAAAATCTCATTAAAATCAACACTTTTTCTTGGGTTGTGGTCTTTTACCACTAACCTATCTTTTTAATCTTGGAGATGAATAATTACCTTAAAATTCTATAAATCCATCCTTTTTTTTTCTCCACCTTTAGGTACTTCCACCAAATTCTAAGTGTGATCTTCATAGAAAGACTTTTGTTTGACTTCATTTTCTATGGTACAATTATAATAGACTATGTCCATTAGAAAGCCTGAGTTGAATGATTCAGAAACATCTACAACAATGTCATCAAAGTATCTCATATGTGATATCTCATCTTATTCTTCAGCATAATCAATTGAAACATGCATTTTTAGCTCAAAGTTGTTAGTAGTTATCGACAATTCGACATTATCATAATGCTCATAAGTTTTAGCATCATACCAGCAATGTGAGGATTAGATGCAGTCAACCAAACTAGATCAATTTCAGACAAGGTATTGTCTTCTTTGAGTGTCGTCCTTTACGCCTTTTCAATATCAGTACGATCATAATATTTATAGCCAAATTCATCTCGATCATAATTAATAAAGATAGCACTGTCAAGTCTTCATGTTCAACTTAGATCTTCACACAAATCCATTGCAGACAAAAATTCGCAGATGATCATACTTGATATCTATACCGAACCAAAAATTTATATGTCACTTTAATGTCCCAAGGAACCACTAAGTTCAGATTAATAACATGCTTCAGAAAATATAGACCTAACTCTCTCAATTACAGTTCTACGCATTCTCGTTTATAGACTATTCAATTAAGCAGTCTTTCTCGTCATCTTTTCATGCTTAATACTTCAATTTTTTAAATAAGCATAAAATGGCCTACGATACTCTCCCACCATTGTCTATATGTATTTCATGTCTTGCCCGACTATCGTTCAATCAAATGCTAAAACTTTTTAATCTTGTCGAGTGTCTAGTCTTTATTCTTTAGAGTATAAATCCAAAGTTTTCATATCATTAATAAACTAAAAAATTAAAGTGTAATATAAAATGATTTAACCAACAAGTTACATATATTAGCATTTACCTGTTCAAGAATTGGGGCTTTCTTGAGGGAGAATGTTTCTTTAAGGATACTCTGGTCTGTTTTCCAGCCATGCAGTAAAATTGTATTTTTCAACAAATTATACATTATATTTTCATCTCACGAAACATCTTAAAACAACAAAAACTACTTCACCGAAATAACATCATAATTCTTAATAATTTCACAGTACCTAATACCCAACAACAAAAATCTTAAATATTCCAAAACACAGAAAGAAACACAACTTTAAAGCACAAATAATACTACTATTTGTCTAGCTAGAACTAAATTCCGAGCACAGCATACATTATAACATCATTCCGGCTGGACCACAACTAAACCATCTATGATGGATAGACATACCAGCAGTTAGAAAATAAGCATCAACCTCAAAATCTCCAGTAGTCAGCCGACAACTAGGAAAGATGAAGCTTATGAAGTGGGATCAGTTCAACAAACATCAGCCAAGTTTAACAAAGCAAATAGCGAGCTTAGCATACGGAATCCTTACCTACATCACTGCCGTGTTCCCTATTCCACTGTGAACTTTGAGGTAGATCTTCCCAGCCTCATCCGAACTCGCAGAGTCAACTGCAATTGCCCCATACATTGCACGAAATGCGCCACAAATAACAGAAGGAGCAGAGGCATTTGTCTTGTGTGAGACTCTAACAATCCTCTCCAACCCCAGATGCACACCGTCTGCATTGCAAGAACCGTCCACCTTAGATGCATCTGCAATACTGTCACTCAAATCCTTGGATGAAGTATCGACATTTTTGGATAGCAACTGCAGCGCAACCGAGGATTCGATTACATTTACGCCCAATAAACCTAATGCCTTGTTGTTCTCCTCCGAATAAGAGGCGTGTGTCATTGCTCGTCGCAGCAGCCCAATGTTCTTGAATGTATAGCTTATCAACAATGAAAAATGAAACAAAGTAACACCTTTCAACTCAAAAATATGGATACAAGAGGATATCAGCTACTACCCAAACTAATCACACATATGAACTAGAAAGTAGAAACAATGATAATCCATTATCAAATAGTCAGTAACTAAATCATGAATTTCGAATTGCACAGCAATTGCAAACCAGGACGGAATTAGCCAAAGCAACACACAAAATCTTCACAGAAAGACCTAAATTGGAAAGTAAATGAAGCGTGCGGTTACTTGATTTGCCTCTGGAGATTGTCCAGAGCAATGGAGAACGGCGTGGAGACCTTAACCGATACATTGATCAATGGCCGCCGATCTTCGCCAAAAGCCTTTTGAACAACATTATAAAAATGAACGCAAGGACAAAAAATACAGAAAAAAATAAAATAAAATGGTAAGAGTTTCGAGCGATCTTCAACAAAAACTTTCTAATTACATCAAATATAACAAGAAAACATAAAATGCATAAAAATAAGAAAGCAAAAGACAGTGTTATGAGGCATCAAAGGGTTTCGATTTATCGTGCTTGCGCGATTACGGTAGAATCCATAATATTTCAGGTTTCTAGTGAATCTACCTGCAGAGTGGGGGTGGGGAGAGCAGTTAGAAGGCAGAGCGAGAAGAGGTGCAGGGAATCCATTTTCATTCTCCGTTGTGAGCAGCCGAATTTGAGCGAGGGTGACGAGTCTCTGGTTTCGATTTTCAAAGTCAAGTATGCTAGTGTGGTTCTACTCTTATTTATCTGCTCTTCTTATTTAGACTGTCCCCAAAACAGAAAGTAGCTAAGCTAGGGTGTGTTTGTTGGATTTTGAGATATAAGTAATTAAAATTTTAAATTTGAATAATTATCGTGATATAAATAGATTTTGATTTATATGTTGAATGTAAAAATAATTTTTTAATATAATATAAAAAATAAAAAATAAAAAATAAAAAATTAATTTAATGTCTTTTTTTATGGGAAAAAATTTGGTAACATACCCAAATGCTTATTTTTATTTTTTCATCCTAATTTTTTTTTATTATTTTTTATTTTTAGTTTTATATATATACATATATTAATTTTTAATTATATTTTTATTTCAAATTAATTTTATTATGATTCTATATTATATAATTATGTTAAAATTTGTAATTATACTTTATCCAATAAATTAAATTATTTCTTAATATTAATTAGTTTAATAAAATTACATTTGTATTTTATATTTTTTTTAAATTAAAATTAATATAAATGTATTCAATATTGGTATCATTTTATAAAATAAAAAATTTCATAAATTATAAAAATATTACAAAATTAAAAATATAATAATAATTTTAATATAAATTATAAAAATAAAATACATATAATATACATCATATATGTGTCATGTGTCACAATTTAAACAGAGATGCTGAAGACCAAATATCTATTTCTTTTTCTACTTTTTTAAAAAAAATAAAAAAAAATGATGATGTGGTGCATCTCTGCATCTCCTAAGAGGAGATACAACCGTTACGGATGGTCTTATTGTGTTTATTTTGCTTCGGCACATAGAATGAAAATAAAAAAATAAAAAAATATATAGCCATATGAATTAAGAATAAATGATTAATTGTCTATGAAGGATAACCTTGTGGTGAATTTGTGACTATAAGGCCTTATTCATCGATAGAAGGTTGGACATGCAATCAACTCTTCTTTAATTTATTTAATTAAGTTAAATCAATCATCACAATCAGCAAAAAGTAATGCGCACAAACAAGCAGCTCATCCAATCTATCAATCCAATATAAAATTATATCAAGATGAAGATAAATGATTTACTTCTTCAATCGCAGCTTTACTCTTTCATTTTTCTCTTCAGTATGGAAGACAATCAAGCCAAGAAGGTTTAATATGCATTTGACTTCAACTAGAGACGGAAGGAATGAGATGTTTTTCTCTCATTTGTCAGACTGTCTGTTGTTGATCCAAACAACCTTCAGACGTAGCTATCCTCAGATTCCGATGGTTTATTTTGCATACTGGTCGTTGCATATTCGTCATCCCAAAAATTTTGTACTTTTTTTTTGATCCATTTTTTAAGTAAACATTTTTGTATGTTGCCTTCATAGGAATCCATGGATTTACCTCTTGTAATACTTCCACCTTTAAGATTTTCAACAATAGGATTTGTAGGATGACATTCATCAACTATAGACCCCATTTTTACACCAGATTTTGGTTCAATATCATTGGAGGATAATTCATCAATAACTTGAATGACATCAATAGCATCACCCTTTAAGTTGGACACATCTCTACTAGATTTTTCCATAAATGGTGCAATATTGTGGATATTTGATGAAACTTTTGGCCTCCAGTCACATCTGATTTTTATTTTTTTTCTTAAGCTATTCCGATGACCATTTTATTTGTTTTCCCTTGAGTATATCACGTACAATTTGGGCATACTGATTTGCAATATGACTTGTTCTCCAGCAGCACCTGCAGTCTGTGAATTGTTTGGACCCCACTTCCGATTTGTCTGATGTTTTTCCTCTATCTGATTTTGCTTAAATTTCGATTTTGCACTCGTTTTCTCTTATTCATGCAACATGCTGCCTTTGAGAAAAACAATCTGGGAACTCGAAGCTCCATAATGATAGCCAATTCCGGTATGATCTCCATGAGGTTTCGCAATCAATAATACTTTGTCAAGCTAGGATTTTCCTTTCAACAAGTTTTTATTTACATTTATGAGCTTTTTGTTTGTAGACTCAAGTTCTTCAACTTTCTTCCTTAAATAGGTAGCCTTATCAACTACATTTTTTTGCTCTGCAACAAATTCATCATTCGTTTTGGTTGGCTTCTCTTTTGCTTCCATCTGCACCTCGATCCTTTGGTTCAATCTCGTAACCATTGCCTTTAATTTGTCATTTTGGACAATTACAATTTTTTTGTTCAACCACCACCATGTTGTGGGCTTCCACAAGTTATTCGAATGTCATTTTTGTGAATTCATCATATCTTCTCATCATTACAAATAGTTAACACAACTACCTCGTCTTCTTTATTTTCGTCGTCACTTCAATTTACACCGATTGCTTTCTTATCCTTGTTCATAGCTTTTGTACAGGTTGTCTGCCAGCTGTTTGGTTGCTTTTTGGACTTTCAATCTGGGTGATATTCTGTTTCAGTATGGCCTTTATGTTCTGAATTATTTGGAAGAAATGCCTTGAAGTAGGAGATAATTCATCACAATCAATGTCTTCTGCTGCTAAATCCTTAGTCGTGAGCGCAGCTCGTTTGGGATTAGGCTTCTTTTGTTTCCATGATGATGGATAACTCTTTAGTAGCACCAAGGAGCCTACTCTGATACCAATTTTTGGCTCCAAATTTCGATTAACTCACCCAGCAGCAAGAACAATTTACCTCCAAAATCAAATCTACAAATTCACTCAACACAAAATGGTTGTTCGTTGGATGATCGGACAGCGAATGCACACACTGGTGATGATAAGAACGAAATATACAAAATACATCACAATTGATAACCCAGTTCGGCTCTAACTAGCCTACATCTGGGAGGTTCCAATATAGACAAGATTCATTATTGAAACTATTGAAGTACAAAGATATTTGGATACAATCAAATTACACACCTCAAGAAATCAACACGCATATTTCTTGATTGTTTCCCCCAAACCCAAAGCTATCTACTATCGTTACCCTTTCAATTTTTAATAATCTCTCTCTTTTTCTCTATCGACAGGACCAAAATGTTCCACACACTTTAGTATATTTTTTTACTCACATGTATAATCATCTAACAAATTCAATTAAGAATTGAATCTTTTTGCTCCATTATCTCTTCATCACCTCCACTAAGTTTGTTGCAACCGAATTTTGTTATTCATCACATGGGGACTAGTAACTCTATCAACCTTGATCACTTCCTCATGAATTTTCATTGGATTGATCAATTTTGGATCATCTTCTTGTTTGAATGGACTCAAGGCAAACTAGGTCGCGTTCGTTCATCAATGTGATCGGACCATCTGTAAACAACATGAATCAAAATCCAAAAATAAATATAATTATTTTCAACAATTCTTATCTTTGTTTAGTTCATCTCTAAATTTATCATATTATTAATTTTGACAAAGTCAACAAATTTAACATTTAATTATTATATTACATTCGATATTTATTTATAACAAATATCACTATTTTTTTATATTATCACTCTTCACATTCTTTAATTTTTAATTAAATTTTAGAAAATAGTTCAAACTATTTTTTTTTATCAAATTTTTAATAAAGTATTTATTTTTTTTCTAATTTTTTTATTGAATAGAGGTATTTTTATTGACAAGAGAAAAAAACAAAATAAGAATTATTAAATAATAAAAAATAATTAAAAAATAATATTTATATATTAAAGAAATTAAAAAAAAAAAACTTCTTTTTTCTTTTTTTTTTATCCGAAATCCATTAAAATTCAGTAACACCCTACACGGACTTGAGATCCCGGATTAGTCCGTCGTTTCGTTTCCACCTCCATGGCTCCACATAACTGTAAGAAAACACGTACTCCCCAACCCCAACCAACAAAACCGCCATTGTCAAACCTTCCTAATTTCTCGAATCTGCATTCTCCCTTCTCTCTCTCTCTCCACATATACATACATATATATATATAACCACCCCCCACCCACTCCACCCACCCCCACCATGGACACAGTTCTGAGCAGCATCCACGCCTGTAAGCCCGACAACACAAACGTCGGCTGCCCGGCCGGCTCCGGCGCCGTCAGCGCCATACAGACGTCGTCATTCTACGCGCCGCCGGAGGCCACCCTCGGGCGCCACCTGGCTCGGCGTTTGGTGGAGATCGGCGTGGAGGACGTCTTCTCCGTCCCCGGCGACTTCAACCTGACTCTCCTCGACCACCTCATAGCCGAGCCGCGGCTCAGGAACATCGGCTGCTGCAATGAGCTGAACGCCGGGTACGCCGCCGACGGCTACGCCCGGCAGCGCGGCGTCGGCGCGTGCGCCGTCACGTTCACCGTCGGCGGGCTGAGCGTCCTGAACGCCGTCGCCGGAGCCTACAGCGAGAATCTTCCGGTGATCTGCATCGTCGGAGGGCCCAACACCAACGATTACGGGACCAATCGGATTCTGCATCACACCATCGGCTTGCCGGATTTCAGCCAGGAGCTGCGCTGCTTCCAGACCGTTACGTGTTATCAGGTAAACCTAAAAGTCGTCGTCGATACATACATATATATATATATATATTAGTTTTCCATGTGTGTTTTAAGCTTCATGTGGTGGCTAAGTGTTTGTAGAAATTCCCCAAAGACATCGGGATGGGATCGTCGGCCTCCTTCAATTGAACAATTGGTCGATTGTAAATGACAATTGAATTCTTCTTCAGGCTGTGGTGAACAACATCGAAGATGCACACGAACAAATCGACACAGCCATAACAACAGCCCTAAAAGAGAGCAAGCCTGTCTACATAAGCATCAGCTGCAATTTGCCTGCAATTCCTCATCCTACTTTCGTCATCGATCCAATCCCATTCTCCATCTCCCCGAGGTATCCATCTCCGCAATTTCTTTCATTTAATTTCTTGTCCATAATTCCCCTTAGCGTAAATTCTCTTTTTACTTTAAAAATTGCATAGAGACCTTTTATAATTTAAAAAACGTTGCATGAAACTCCTTTATAGTTGTAAATTTCCACTTTACTTTAAACCAATTGTGCGACGCCCTTATAGTTTCAAAAGTATTGCATAAAACCCCCGCCATGCACGACGCCCTTATAGTTTCAAAAATATTGCATAAAACCCCACCATAAAAAAAAAATATGGATAGAAAATCATCGTCCCATCGTACCACACCATGGAGGTTTCATAGGAGTGGGGTTTTTTGAAAGCATAGGGGAGTGCTATACACAGAATTTCGTTCGTAATCACAGGGGAGTTATGAGCAATTTTACCTAATTTCTTCGATCAATCGATCAAGATCAAATGAATAATTACTCGAAAAAAACATCGATCGATCTTTCCGCAGGCTGAGCAACGAATCTGGCCTGAAGGCGGCCGTCGACGCCGCCGCCGCCTTTTTAAACAAATCCGTAAAGCCAGTCTTGGTCGGAGGTCCTAAACTGCGCGTCGCGAAGGCAAGCGGCGCGTTTGTCGAGCTAGCTGACGCCTGCGGCTACGCACTCGCGGCGATGCCGTCGGCGAAAGGGTTAGTCCCCGAGCATCACGCGCACTTCATGGGCACGTATTGGGGCGCGGTCGGGACGCATTTTTGCGGCGAGATTGTGGAATCTGCGGATGCCTACATTTTCGCCGGCCCGATATTCAACGACTACAGCTCGGTCGGGTACTCGCTCCTCGTCAAAAAGGAGAAGGCGATTATCGTGCACCCCGATCACGTCGTCGTCGCGAACGGGCCCGCGTTCGGGTGTGTGATGATGAACGATTTTCTAAAGGAACTCGCCAAGAAACTCGACAAAAACACGACTGCCTTCGAAAATTACAAGAGGATTTACGTGAAGGAAGGCGAGGTTCCGAAGTGCGACCCGAGCGAGCCGTTGAGAGTAAATGTCCTTTTCCAACATATACAAAAGATGTTGTCCGGCGACACGGCTGTGATCGCCGAGACGGGGGACTCGTGGTTTAATTGCCAGAAGTTGAAGTTGCCCGAGGGATGCGGGTGAGTCGAGATCCTTGCATTTTGTTATTCTTTTCGAAAGAATTGTTTGAGGGGAAACGATCGATGGCGTTGCAGGTACGAATTCCAGATGCAGTATGGATCGATCGGATGGTCCGTTGGCGCTACATTAGGGTACGCACAATCTGTGCCGAAGAAACGAGTGATTGCATGCATTGGGGATGGAAGTTTTCAGGTCAATTGAATGTTCAAAAACTTCATTAACTCTCATTGCACGGGTGTTGTTAGCGTGCTGACTAGTTATAATCAGCACAATGTTAACAACATGCAACATATATGTACCGACAACACATTATATATAAATGAACAGTATACAAATATATGTATATTGATATATTAGAAATACAATAGATGAAATTGATCTCAGCACATAAGGTATATTAACACAGCACGCATATAAAATATACTAACAATCTATATAGTATGTGTTATGTGCTGTATAGATTGTTAGCATGTGTTGTCGGACTATATTTAATGTATTGTATAAATTGTTAGCATGTGTTGTCGAATTATATATTGTGTTATGTAAATTGTTAGAATGTACTGTCAAATTATATTTAATATGCCGTGTAGATTGTTAGCTTGTGCTACTGAACTATATTTAATGTGTTGCATAAATTGTTAGCATATGTTGTCGAATTATATATTGTGTTATATAAATTGTTAGCATGTATTGTTAAACTATATTTAATGTGTCGTATAGGTTGTTAGTCTGTGCTACTGAACTATATTTAATGTGTTGCATAAATTGTTTATATAAATTATTAGCATGTACTGTCAAACTATATTTGATGTGTTGTATAAATTGTTAGCCCTGTGTTGTTTAACTATATTTGATGTGTTATATAACTTGTTAGCATGTACTGTTGAATTATATTTGATGTGTTGTATAAACCGTTAACATGTGTTGTCGAACTATATTTCATATGCTGATTAGGGCTTATCAGCACTCTAAACTTGTCTCAATGCACACATGAGCCGAGACTAACATCAATCGCAGGTAACGGCCCAAGACATAACGACAATGATCCGATGCGAGCAGAAGACCATCATATTCTTGATAAACAACGGGGGATACACAATCGAAGTAGAAATCCACGACGGGCCGTACAATGTGATCAAGAACTGGAACTACACAGGACTCGTCGACGCCATGTGCAATGGAGAAGGGAATTGCTGGACTACCAAGGTAACAAACTAACTCTAACTCTTAACTCTCAACTAGACCACATCTAAATAATAATATCATAAATTCACGACGCGTCCGTCTGTTTTAGGTGACTTGCGAGCAAGAGCTGATCGTGGCGCTGGAAAAAGCCAACGGCGAGAAAAGAGATTGCCTGTGCTTCATCGAAGTTATAGTCCACAAGGATGACACGAGCAAAGAGCTTCTCGAATGGGGATCGAGAGTTTGCGCCGCCAACGGCCGCCCGCCGAATCCGCAGTAAATAACTTCACACCTTAATCTCTATTCGATTCAACACCTATTTTTTTAGTTTAGACATATATACTACTTTGGATCAACAGATTAAAAGTTTGATGAAGGGATGAATATTAGCTTAACTCTTCTAACTACTTCATTGCAAAGGACCCTTGTGTTTCTTTTGAAACAGTTTTTCGCTATTTGAACTTTATATTTTTCGAAAAAAATATAATATTATTTACATAAAATATTCAAACTTTCAAACTCAATTCAAATTGAAAAGAATCACACTCCTATCATTTATTAAATTTATAGTAAAATTTATATCTCGTTAATTAAATATTCCCCTTTGTCCCAGATACCATATCCACGTTGCCGTTTCTGTCCGTCTCACGTACCATGTCACTTTCCTTTTTTAAAAAGTGATTACACACTTTAATCTCATTTTAAATTTTTTAATTTTATTTTATTTTAATTTATCTTAATCTTAATTTATAATTATTTATATTATAGGACTAATACATTCTTAATTATCTACTAATTACATCCCTCTTCTATCGGAGGGAGTATTAAATTTGATTTTATTTGAATTTTAATTTTTTATTTGAATTTGAATTCAAATAATATTTTTATATAATATTTTTTGTAATAAAAAATAATATATTTGAGCCCAACAAATTGAGTTTGAACCATTATTTTATTACGCTAACAAATTCAAGTAGAGCTTGAACAACAAATACTCGTATTACGCTAACAAATTCAAGTAGAACTTGAACAACAAATACTCGAACTCGTTTAACAGCTCTAATTTCCACTATTTTCGTGACTATAAGATCATAGATTCAAACCTCCGACACTTCCGAGTCTTACATGTTACACATGATTCTTTTAGTGTGACTTGCTTGACCGGATCTACTTTGTAAACTATTAAATTCGGTCCGGGGTTAGCTGCGGGTTCCACCTCATTTTAAAAAAAAAAAAACAAAAAAAAAAAAAGGTACCCACTACTAGCAAGCATTTCAAGCAAAAAAAAAAAAAAAAAGAAACCAATTCAGTTGAAGACGAGCATGTCTTATCATTTATGAAGAGAAATTCCGACTTAAGAGATCAAATTTTCATCTGCCATTCTAACAGTGCAAATAACTCCAGATAGTCACAAGTTCATGTTAATGATGAAGAAAAAAACGGTATGTACATTTCACCCAGGATTTATACGAAGGCGATGCAGCACCGATCAACATCGATTCAATCCGATTTTCTCTTCATACAACCTACTCAAAAACATCGGAAAAATCTCGGCATTAGATCAAGAACACAGAGCAGAACAGGGGACTGAAATCTTACCTAAAATTCACTCCGACACGCCATTGGAACGGATCTTGGCTGATTTTATGTCCAGCAACACATTCCCGACAGCCCACGGAAACGCCAAACAGTTAGCACTGCCATGAGAATACGACGGATGATACGTCACATAATACCACGCCGACACCAGCTGCTGCTGCTGCTGCTTGTCCTGGCCGCAGCAGCTCCCAAGCCACTCCTTCACCTCCTTCATCAGGCTCTTAACCGAAACCAAGATCCGTTCTTTCACCTCTCCGTATCTCCGGTTGTCCCTCTGCAAGTACGACGTCTTCTTCTGGAGTTCGCCGGTCAGTATCTCCACTTCAGCTTCGGCGCCGTAGTAGTTCATGAGCGTTCCCATTTTCTCCAGGTACTGTTCTTTGTGACCTTCGGCAGCTTTCAGGAAGGCCTTGTAGCCGTCAACAATGAGGTCGTGGTCAAACGCATCTGATGGGATCTTGTCTAGGTGATCGGGGGTTGGTTTTGTCTGCCGAATGAAATGAATTGTGGCGCGGTACAGCTTGCCTAGCGGATCTAGCGAGATGTACATCGGTTTCTCCCACCTCTCCAAGAAATCAGGAAACTCTCTCGGCTTTAGAGATCGAGGCATCTCGGCTGGGGCCCCGGTTTTAGCAAAGTCGACAGCCATAGAGTGGAGGGTGGCTAATTCAAGGCATTTTGGACTCAGGGCTTTATCGGGTTCGCGGCCAGCGTGGATTAGATGTGCCGTCGAGATGGCGCCAAGAGTGTCACTGATCATGTAATCAGCAAAAAATTTCTGGATTTCCTGAAACGAGAAATCGATAGAAATGTAAGTATTTTAGAAACACACGCGAGTAGAAGAGATAGGCGGAAAAATTTCTGAATACCCCTGCTTACCTCTAAAGTGACATCATGGTCCGTGATACGCGCACGTCGTCCTGTGTAGTCCATTGGGGCCACAGTTCGAGGGGGGATGAGATTTTGATCCCAGCTTATAAAATACAGATCGCCATCAAGATCACCACCCGAGCATTCGTTAGGGTGTGGCCTGTAAAATTTAAGCACGACAACCTAAATCCAAATTTGCAAAAGTAATTACAGAAATGTAAACTGTGTAGCAATAGCAGGTGCCGGAAAATTCATAATATAAACGATTAGGCAACAGTCATGTCCAATTACATAAAAATAATTCCGAATGTCACTTTGAGATGTAGCAAAGGATGCAAAGATGATAAATAAGTGCAAATACAGTACCTGTCTCCTTTCTGGGGGAAAACAAGACAATCCACCAGATTAGCCTTGTACAATTTCTCGTCGAACACAGCTTCAAGGACTCTGATATCACCCGGATGGAGACAAGGGTTTTTAGTTACCACAACTTTGCCAGTAACCACAGCAGATGTTTTATCTACCTTCCGGAAAAATGATTTATTGCTGCTCTTCATCTCAGATTTCGTCATGGTCACCCTAGCGTAGATCTGGCCATACTCCAAAGTCCTATGTTCATCCAGGCATCCTACTAGGACCCTGCCTTTTGGGACAAAGATCCGACACCTACCTCTTAGATCAGAGAGCTGGCTTTCAAGGTGTGACCGAAGCATTGTTGAGAGGTATGGCTCTTTCTGCGGCGTATAGCCTTGAAGCAACATCCTTCCTAGCACGCTTTTCATTTCACCGCCGCCAGTGCTCTCCAACACATTGAGTGCTGCATCTTTGTTCGTCAGCATTCCGCAAAGGAGCTGCAGCTGTTCTTCTTGCATTGCCAAGAATACAGAGTCCTCGACACCCAAGGTCGACAATAGCGTAACAATTTCACGGTTCAGGTAGCAAGGCTGGGATTCAGTCCATTTGGTGATGTTCAGCATGTAGTTGTCGGATTCAAATTTGAGCATGCTGCTTCGTAGAGAAAGCTTCCGGTAGGACTGGCGATCAACGGCTACCACCCCTTTGTATCCTCCATACCGAATCTGGAAGGCCGATGGGATTTCAGACAAGCCTAACATCCTGGATATCTCCTCAGCAAATCTATGGGAAATTTTTCCGATGCCATCTGAGAAGCAGTAGGTCACGCCATGGGAATTGACATCTATGTCAGGAATGAGCTCGACATCCCGAGGATGGACTTCAATAGTTTGCTTTGACGAGCTAAATAATTGACCCATCCTTGCTGCACATTTCGAGATATTTCTGATCTTGTTGAAGCAGCCCATCCATTGTCGGATTTCCTCAGCTTTCACATATTCATTCGAAGCAAACATCCAAACTGAGTTCGAGCGCAACTGACTGGCAGAAAAGGCCAAGAACTGAAAATGTTTTTCTCCAATAACAATCCCGTCTCGAAGAACAGACAAAATTCGATGATACACATTTGTTCTGTAAGGCTTCGAGTAGATTCCTTGACTAACAGTCATGGAAACAGCACTTGTGGGAAGCCTACCCCAATCTTCATCAACAAATGTGACCCTCAGGAAGTCAGAAGAATATTCAGCAAAGTTTCTCACAATGTAGTTGGAGGATTCAAGCTCGGGACCCAAGCAGAAGAACCTTGATGGAGTAACAAGAACCCTATGACAGCTCATCACATTCTGATTCTTTAACCTTTTATAAGTAATTGAACCGAGATCCTTACCTGCTTCACTTGTATTTGAAAGTTGCTGTTTGATAAAAAACTTAGGATCATAGCAAGTGGAATGCAACTTATGCATTTTCTTAAGGATCACTACAGCAGTGTTTGTGTTTAAACCATTCAGAATCTTAAGAAGTTCACCATCAACTGCTGCAAGGCTAATCTTGTGAGCATGTACAAGTGAATTCAACTGGAAAAGAACTTCGAAAGCTACGGGGAAAGCTGGGCTATTTTGAACAATTGGAACCAAATCAGATGACAGGCTGAATTTTACTCCTTTTTCAAGCTCTAGTGTCATCACATCCTTTGAGTAGCACGGCAATGCAGTATATACATCTGAACAAATTCCTTCTTCGATCTTCCAGCAAAGAGTGGTCAAATATCCAATTGACCTCACATGTGAAAAATCAGTTGTTCGAACCCAAAGAAAGTCAAAGTTTTCTTTGCAAATTCGATATCTGTTTGTAGCAAATTTTGATGAAAACTTCGGCCCAGAAATTCTTTTAAATACTTTTGGTGCACAGTTGAGCTGAAATTAAAAGTGAAACAAAATCAAATAAATATTCCAGATGCATAAATTAATAATAATAAATAACAGAAAGGATGCATTTTTCATAAATAAGGAGCATTTCAATCAGCAAGACATCAGCCATAAAATGAAATAATAATCAAACATAAAGTACAGACGCAAGGAGATATATATGGGCAATCTTCAAAACATTATGGTTTGTCTCACTTCCTATCTCCTCACTATCATTTTATGAAGCTATAATATATTCTTAGGAACATCTGTAACGCTAAAGACACCCTTTTAACAGATACTAAATTCATTAAGATATCCAACAATAGTCACAAGGGCTTGCGACATACGAAACCAAACAGAAGCAGCACTTCTTTGGACATTCAACTCCAATGATTATGTCAATCACAAGCTTATCTACACGCGGAGAGCTTGGTTCGAATAAACTAAATACCGAGTTCAACAATAATCCAACTAATAATTATATATTTTCCATGGATTATAGTTCTGCCAAAACTAGCACCTACAATGGTACTAAAGACACAGTCTTTTTGCAAATACTGCAATCATTAAAATACCAGACAAATCGACAATAATCACAAGGGCTTGCGACATATGAAAGCAAACAGAAGCAGCACTTCTCTGCACATTCAACTCCAATGTTTACTTCAATCACAAGCCTATCTACACACAGGTAGCTTGGTTCGAAAAAACTAAAGAAGAATGCAACAATAATCTAACTACAATTATATATATATATATATATTTCCGTGGATCATAGTTCTACTCAAACTAGAACCTACAATGATACTCCACAAAAACAACCAAACACGAATCGGAATGCAACCATAAATGATTACAACCTGATAAAACAACTAAGCCAACACAAAATCTACAAGTTCCACCAAAAGGAGAAACACAAATTGATAGTTCTCAATGATTAAAACCATTAGATTTAACCAACAGCTAGAGCAGCAGATTAGCAGCATACCTTCAAAAGAATAGCATCATCTTTACCACCAATGGAGCAAGGCCTCGTCTCCAGAACATCCCCAAATTGCACCTCCAATTTGTAACTTTCCTCTTCGTGATTCACAAACCACTCAACTTTCCTCCTCTCAGGCATCACCCACACTTCAACCCCATTCCAGCGCTCCAAAATCCCAAAGCGATCATGCCTAACCATAACTCCTGCAAGCACATTCACCTCGACCCTGTTCGCTGCCTCCACCGGTCTAGCGATGATATCGTAGAATGAATGGGAGATCGAGAGGTAAAACTCTTTGAAAACAAGCTTCCTTTCTTCGGAAAGCAACAGACACTTAGCCTTGGCTTCCGGAGTGTCGAACTGGACGCGACCATGCCCTCTGGACTTCCAGTTCTGGTGCTCCGTGAAAATCTCAACTGCGTAAATTGTGCTTACTCCCGTCTTGGACTCGAGGAAGGTCAAGAGCTCGTTGGCGACGGCGGTTTGCGGGATGTTGGAGACAGTCACGGTGAGCGTTGATCTTTCCGCGTCCATGGCGGACGGCATTGGAGCAAAGCTACGGTGATTTGGCGGAAATTAGTGGCCGAGTGGACTCAATTCAGCTTCTGCGGAACTGTAAATTGGCCAATTGGGTATAACTTTCTCGTTTTCCAAGATTCTCTTGTCAGCCATAAAAGAAGGAAAGGAAGGATTGAACTTACAAATTTCTCGCACATATTGCAGTTGCAGGGAACGAAACCGGGCGAAGAAGAAGAGGAAGGAGACGAAACTGATTTGCTGACGGAAGCCTTGCGGGTGTACGAAGCGCAGAAGACGAAAGACCGAATTTTGCAGAGGGAAGTGTCGGAGACGAAACAGTTGAAGGGAAGAGAACAGAATCAAAACTAGGGCTGTAATTGGAATTGTTTTGAACAATTGGGCTCAAAATTTAAAACTATTTCCAATTTTTTTTTTTAACAATGGACATATTTTTATTTTTTTAAAATTATTAAATTAAAATATATTTAATAAATATAAATCAATTTAATTAATTAAATTCTTCTATTTTTCTCTCCTAAAAAAAAATATTTTTATTTATATTTAAAATTATATATTTTTTTATAAAATTAGTTTATGTTAATTATAAATAAATAAAAATATTTTTTTTATTTACTACAAAATGATATACATATTGTATATATTTTAATTTTTATATAATTTTTAAATATTTAAACATATATTTTAATTTTTTTAATCATATATATTAAATTTACTTTAAAATTATAAATATTATTAATTTTAAAAAAAATAATATGATAGTATCATAACTAATTAAACATCATCGTGCCCCTATAAAAGGGTTCAATTCCAATGGAACTGGAGAAATATATATTAGATTTATGCCTGAAAATTCATCGAACTAATCAAAAGCGTCAATAATACAAATACAATGTAAAAGCAAAAGGCATGAGCATAACATTCTTTAATAGAACGGTGATGTCGATCAAAAGTTTGAGAAATCATCCATTAAGATCCCCGTAAATATGATATATAAATTACGGAAAAATCAATTTTGATTTAAATATAATTAAAATTTATTAATTTTAGTTTTAATATAAAAAATAAAAAAAAAATCATCAATTTTGGTCTCATTATAAACAATTTCTATCAATTTTGGTCTCATTATTAAAAAACTAACGAAAATTGCTGATGTTGACATAATAGAGGTGGCGTGGCAGCTACCCTGAAAACTACACGATCATATACAATTATATACGGCCATATTATTATACGATTATGTATATTTCAGTATATAATTATACATGGCCATATGTTATATGAATTTTATATCGATATATTTTGAAGTATTGATCAATATTGTTTGGAAAACTTAGCACCATAATTGATAAATATAATGACTTTACATATATATTTTAAAATTTTGATATTAATTATTAATAGTAAATTTTTTAAAATATTATACTTCCTCGGTCCTAAAACAATAGGAATATTTGAGATGGACACAAGAATTAAAAATAATAATATTATATTAATAGTTTGTGTAAAAGTGTTTCTAAAATGCATAATGTCCTAAAAATGAAAATGAGACTATTATTTTAGGATAACGAAAATAGTAAAATGAGACATTGTTTGGAACGGAAGGAATATTAAAAATATATTTTTATAAAATATAATATTTAATATTTAATTTTAAAAAAATAAAACTAAAAAACTCTTTATATATATATATATGGGATAATTGAAGACAAAAAAAAATGACTAATCAATTATATTTGGATTAGTATTTATTCTAATTATTTAGAGTTTAAAATGTATATTACAATAATATTACAGAGTAGTATAATAGAAGTAGCTTATTTCAAAGAATTTTTGTTGATCGGATAGAATCAATTGAAACTGATCTAATATAATTTTGTTCAGATCGGGTCAATCAATCGGAATCAACCCAACTTTGCCGATGAAATGACCAATATTTTTTGGCTCAAGACCAAATGATGATGGGTCTAAATGTCGCCTAAAAGAGTTTAAGTCTATGGAAATGATGAAACAACTAATTTGATCAATGACCCATAGAGCATGTCCATTGGAAAAGTCGAGTAGTTTGTGATTTAAAGGAGGATAGTGTTAATTGATGATTAACAAAATAATGAAAATTGTCCTAACACTATAAGACAATGTGAAGAAAAAATACAAGTTTAAAAAAAGATGGTCGATAAGTAATTACAAACTGATTTAAAAGACAGTTATTATAATAAGTCGAATGACTGATGTAGTGAATGCGATATTGGATGCAGGGAACTAATTGAAGCAAAATGAACGCGATCGTAATAAAGAATGAATTGAAGTTAAATAAATATTATCTAAAATAATCTTCAATTTATCAATTTTTTTTTATATCTTATTTCTTTTAGAGTTTTGTAGTTAGGTGTAATTGATTTTCAACTATCTTTACTGCTCTTTTACATATTGATTTGTCGTTACCAATATAGTCTTACACATAGTATTAGGGGTTTGCATCAAATGGCCCGAAAGCCCACCTTTGATATCTCGATTGACACTTTTAGGCCGAAATCAATTACTAGTTCAACAGAAAATGGCAACACAAGTAGGACATGGCGTGTATGTGATCAAATTTTGGAAAAGACAATCTTCATAACCTACCAAGGAAGTAAGGGAATAGGCATGTCATATGGTATCCGAGGTTGTCCATTGAGAATGATGTTTCAACCTTCTCCCAAGGGATGGATACATCATTCATTTGCCAAAAGATTTCAAGTTATATTCAATCAAGCATGAAAAAAATATCATGTAGAGGATCTCTCAACAATTGGTTAAAGCATATACAGACAACAAAATAAGACGAACATGGCAAAATCTACCAAGGCAAGGGGAAATTGCAACTTAACTTCAACTCGTTCTAAAAAAATTGGATTCCGTGTAATAAGCTTTTCATATTCAGTAAAAGAAAGTATGTTTTTTTGGCCGCTCGGCCTCCAAAGATGAATGACGAAAGTTCTACATTGCAGTCACGATCAAATATTTGTGAGGATCTCTCCCAATCATCATCTTGTCACTCTTAGCATTTTTAATGCTTTTCAAGTGAATCGACAATCATTTCATCCTCCATAGGTGAGCCCTTTGATCTCATGGGGAAGAAATGTATATTGGTCACCACAAAAAATATGAATTTGAATGCTCTAGGAGGAAATAGAACCACCATCTCACCCACTATACGGGTAGATTCATCGAGATCGATTGATTCATGATCAAAAACGTATTTTTTGGGCAACTTTTTGAAGCAGTTGTTTACAACAACATCAAAGGATATCTTTAGAACCATCGGTTGCCTGAAAGAGATATTGATATGTCCTTGACACGAAACATCAATCGGATTTCTAGTAAGATTGTATTTCATTGATAGACCAATGAAATACAACATTAAGAACGATATAATAAGAATTATAATACAAACTTAACTATAACCGGTAACTTACAAGTATACTATAAAAGAACATACGTACAACCCTTAGCTTATGCATCATAGTGTATGTATGTGTGAATATGAGCAACATCAAAGAATGATATATTGCAAAGGAAATGAGGGATGTGTTATGACTACGGATATTAAAAAAAATACGTGTTATGATTAGAGATGTCAAAAAAAAGATACTGAATTATAAATATACCATACATATTGTATTAAAAAATAGCGAAAATTTCAAAATTTTAGTATAGCGAAAATTTTGATATGGTATGATACCATACTTAACTTTTACGGTACGATAACAATAAACAATTTGATATTTTTTAGGGTTTGTTCGTTTCAAGGTTTTTATCCAAATTCTACCATTCACCAAATTTTTTCCCCAAAAAATATCAAATCAAAACCTATTTATATCACATCATACAATTATTTCAATTCAATTCTTTTACCATTCAAATCCCAACTCAAAATTCAAACCCTCAGACAAACACACCCTCAATATATACCAAGTACTGAAATTTTTTGGTATTTCAGTAAATAACAAAATGTTATACTCTCTCCTTCTCATATTTTGTGTCCGGTTAGTTGAAAGATACAAAAATTTAGATAAAGTATAATTAGTAAATAGTTAAGAAATGTATTAGTAAAAATAATTATTGTACAATAAAATAATTACAAATTAAGATTAAAATAACTAAATAGTATAATTAATATTAAAAATTTATATATTATGAAATTTAAAATGTAATTAAAATATATAGTCATATTTTCTAAAAATAAAAGAAAAAATAAGATGGGACTAACGAAAATAAAAATAATAGACAAATAAGGTGGGACGAAGGGAATATATTATTTTGATATTTGACATATTATTATATACCGATACTATATCAAAATCTAATTAAAAAAAATATATATCGATACAATATCGATATTTTCAATATATTATAACAGAACATCCCTAGTTACAATTAGTTTTAGGGTTATTCCCAAACTTTTTTCTTCTAAAACCGTCAAATTAAATATTTACTATTGTTTATGTAATACTCCATGTTATAACATTTTCACAAAATATATTTATCCTATGGATTAAACATATATTTTAATCAATATGATACCATATTAATAAAATTTTAAAAAATAAAAAATAAAAATGATTATAACATATATTGGGGTATTGTGGTAAAAGAAGTAGATGGATTAACCGATAAGAAAAAAAAAATTAAATAAATTATATGAGTATATCAAATATATATATATATATGAAAGTATTAAAAATTAGGATTTGTTTTATACTGAATTGAAATAAATTGTTGGTTTGAATTTTTGATCAAATATTATATTGATATTTTGTGAGAAAAAATAATATTTTTTTTTATTAAAGTCGTACATAGTATTAATTTGAATTTATAATTATAAAAAATAAATCTTTAAAGTTTTACTTAAAATAAGACATCAAATATTTATTTATATCAAATTTGATATTATCTTCGTCCACCGTCAATCTATTCAATTTGCATTTGGCGTCATTGATTTTAATATTAAAAATATTCTTATATTTGTAAAAAAATTTGTCCAAATGTTATACATTAGTATTATAAGACACTAAAAGAAGTATTTTTATCGTTTTTTCTTAATTTATACTATGTTTTGATATAATACTACATTCGTCCTAGATAAGATGAGTAATATAACGTAGATACGGGAATTTATGTAAAGCATAATTAATAAGTAATTAAAAAGTGTATTAGCAAAAATAATCATAAATTAAGATTAAGATAACTAAATAGTTTAATTAAAGTTAAAAAAATTATAAAATTTAAATCTTAAAATATAATTAAAGTATATAATCGATTTTCCAAAAAAATGACAAATTAAGTGGGACGGACGAAAATAG